GTTGAGTAAGGCGGCCTGTGTCATGACGAGCCCCCCTGCCTCTTCTCCCTCCACTCCCACCCTCCTCTTCCCATCATCAACCCGTCCCTTCCCTCAGTGAAGAGGAGGAATGCAAGGGTGCATTCCAGGCTTAATGAAGTTAATATTGCAGGAATCCAGGCACTAAGTGATCGGTGAACCAACACCACAAAAACAAAAGGCTGCTTGTTCAAGCGTTGAGCCACACAAGATTACCGAGGCATTTTAACATATTTTGTAGAGAGAAAGAGAACAGATATACAAGAAAACAGAAAGTTCAGAACTTTGCTCAAGTGGATTACTCAATTATGCAGACTGGGAGGGGCAAGGGAAATGTTTTGGCTTAAGCGATATAGCTTGTTTGGCAGAAAACATTTTCTACAATATAACAAAAACAAGGCTCATTAAAACTACCGACCCTTAGTAATTCATTGTTGTGATCCCATCTAACTGAGTGACTTCTGAAATGTGTCACGGGATCTCTATGTGCATCAACTGATCAACAAACTGACTTCTGACAATACTGCCGTGTTATCTAGTGTGAATAGTGCTTCCAGGTTCAGAGGATGAACGGTCTACGAGAGAACTTACCCTGCACCACTGTGAGGCCAAAGAAGTGCAGCTCTTTGATTCCAAGAAGCTCTGCCACACGATTAAAAACATCCTGCCCAGTGGATTTTGGCTGGAAAGATGAAGAAGACAGTATTTAATATGCACTTTTTAGAGCAGGCAAAACACTGAAATGATTAAAAAGTTTGACCTTGTAGACCTCATATTGATAAAGATGACAGCAAGAGACATATTAAAAACACCCACCCCGACAGTGATGTCCAGCTGCTCCTTGTTGGGGAGGAGAACACAAATGGTTCTCTCCTGCCTTATCGGGGTGGACATGACGTCTTGTGTGTGTGTCGTGATAAGTGCTTTGTCTGTTTTAAACCACCTCAATCTTCCTCTGTACTTCACTGTCTATCTGTTCCAGGGCAGTTTGTCCATATTGTATCTGTAAAGATAGATGACGTCAGAGTGAGATATGCAAAGAAATTAAATAAAAACATGAAGATGAAGACAGCAGAATGGAATTTAAAACAGATCCAGGTTTGCCGTGCAATCTTCTGCAAATACACAATGAGGATATGCATGAGCATACTGTCACTTACTTGAATCATATTCAATATAATAACTGTGGCTGTCGCCTATTATCCAACAACAAAGATTAACTCAACATGGCTGTTCCTTCCAAATGTTTTAGGATCACGCAAATCTTCCAATGAGATCATCCAAAAACTGAATTCAACACGTGTCATAAGTTGGTTCACCTTAAAAGTATATTAATCCTAGAGTACGGCTTTATTGAAAAGCAGGGGCACATTTAATGAGCTTATAATCAACACCTTGTAAGCAACACCAAATTAAAAAAAAGGAATTATGTGATTTTAGTTTGTGCTTACCACACCAAAACAAATGGCCATGTAGGAAAGACTACTTGCAAACAATGCTCATCTGAAGCGTGCTGACCTGAAGCCTTACTGGTACGAGGCTCATCTGATTAACGTCTCAGAATCAATTAATCAGTTTAATTACTGCCGCGCGCCGACTCTGATCCCCTTAAACCCTGCTCTTGACGATAAGCAGTAAAAATAAAACTACAAAAGGGACAAAAAACAAATGAACCGTAAGAGAAACAGACTACTGTTGAGCCAATCTCCTCAAAGTTAACAGAGAAGAAATAACCAGCACATTTAAGAGATTCTTGGACAAAGAACCTGTTTACACCTAACTCTTCAGGAGCCTGGCATTCACATTATGTTTACTATGTTAAAAAGCATTAGCAATAAGCCTGCCTTTTTTGATTGAGCATTACAAAAAAAGAAGTATTTGAAAGAAATGTTACCAATGAACAAATAGGTAAAGGGAAACATTAAAGTTTATATTCTTGGCTCAGAGAGCAAGCACATTGTCATACCAAATATGATTTATGGACGTGTTCAAACTTGCTGACATCTGTGTCAGTGCAACAGACATTTAAAAAAACCTGAAATTCCAGTAGCTTTAACACCTGACTTGTGTACGAGTCAAACTACACAGTCAATACACTGACTCAAAATCAACTGGCAAGTACATTTTCACATAGACAATATTCTATTTTAAGCATTATTTTGATCAATAGATCTACTTTTTGGGGAGTGCTTCTTTCATGTAAGTTATTCCCACTATGAGGGTGTAGTAGCTTTTTAGTCTTATTGGTCAATATACAACAATGCAAGCTTTAATTCTAAAAATATATCAATACTGATGCATTAATATAATAGTCCTCAAGGATACTTAAGTTTTGTATTCAGTCATCATTATCACATGCATTAAACAACACATCGGAAGGTGTGATGATAAACATATGATAAAACACTATATTTTATTTTCTGACTAATTAAATATTAGAAAAAGACGTTGCATACATATGTTAGCAATTTATGAGCACTTCATGTGAGAGGCAACAAGACTGAAGAATAGAAACAGATTTTGTTCAAGGAAGATGCTTTGTTCTGGAATTTGAATGGGCATGTGCATGTTTATCTTCCTCCAACTTTTCTTAAAACTATTAAACATGACAAAAGATACAATATAAGTTTAAATGGACCCTGATATTAAAATAAAAAAAACACTTATCATATGGAATTAATTTACAACAAATGATCCGTGATCAATTAAACCAGGTTAATCATAGGTTTTTCATCAAATAACAGGCAATAGGAGTAGTCAACATTATATTACATCAAAACATGCTGGAATTATTTGAGTCAAACATCTGGTGTGAAGCATGAACAGTTCTGAGTAACTAATAAACTGAAACAACCTTAATCTGCTTTAAATCCAGAGTACAATCAGGTACATAAAGTACACATCTTCAGTGCATCCCACCTCCAAAACAAGTTTACTCTCATCAGCCCAAACAGTGATGGCTGACTTCTTCAGACATCCCCCTTACTGCTGACCAAAGAGGAAACCTGGCATCACATGAGAGCAGCCATCTGTATGCCTAATTCACCTCCAAGACTGTCATAATCCCTCTTTCTGAGCACACTGCTGGTTATTGGAAAAACATCCCCTGTGCACTGTATATGCTCTCTGAAGTGAACCTCAGAGCCCGTATCTGAACAAACGAGGAACACCATTTATAGTCATCCTACTTGAAAACAATAGGGTGAGTTTGAGCCCCCTTTTGGGGGGGGGAGCCGTGCATTTCTTAGGTTTGACTCAAGAGCCATGACAGGCACATTTATAGAAGGGTTCAATGATTTATCGAGAGGTTAAAAGTTTTACAACATCAGACTTTTAAACACACTCTGCGTCGTGTTGAGTACAGAAGAACTGCATTTAAACGTCCATGTGATGTCCCCATGTTATGAACCGCCCGGTATGTAATTTACATACCGGGCGTTGACGTTATTGAACGCAACAGTGTCATTAGCCGCTAATTATGTCAAAGTTTCAACGTAGCTTAGCTTTTTTTAATTACATGTATTTATTGTGTGCGTGAGCTAACGACAACTCTGATAAGAAACGCAGAAGGAGAAGCTAAAGTACGTTAATAGTGACCATAATCGTGGACACATTTTCTTAGGACAGAGTGTATTTGTTTGGATGGATGGGATAGTAACGCGAAAGCAACAAGTGCATCACTGACTCTGGCTACTCTTTAAACTAACTATAAAGCCGTGAGTTACTTACCATTGCATTATAAGAGACGAAGGAGTTTGAAAACCAGTCGCAGGTCTTCTCAATGCTTGTTCAGCACACAATCTTCTTTTTTTTATCCGAATAAAAACATGACAGAAGTAAGGAGGACACCAGTTCGTCCCACTCCCCATTGCGTGTTGTAACTTCTCCAACCACCGTCAAGTCCTAACGATTGAGCCATACCATTTTGAATTGTTGTGGGGGTGACTGTTGTGAACGAGTTATGTTTTTAAATGGTTGGGACTGTTTTTTTAATGTTAAATTCAAGAAATATTTTTTTTATCACATGCATATTCATTTACAAAAACATACGACTATTTTTAAATACATATATTTAATAAACATCATTATTTGAATGTAGTATCAAAAAGACATGTCCCCCTTGTTTTGCGTTGGTAAAATGATCTCGTTCTAATTAGAGGTCCAAGCCGATATACATCCATGGGTACAAGAAAGTGTCGAGACGACTGGCCGAGTAAGGTTTTCCAAAGAAACAACCGCTGCTAATTAGCGTATCCTTATATATCTATTTTGTATTTTAGTAACAGACGTTTTCTATGTTACCAAAAGTATAATAATGTTGGAATACAAATATATAATAACGTTTCTTCTGATATTAATAATGCTTATTTTGTCATATGTATTTACTGCAATTCCGTAGGTTAAATATTTTCAAAAGACGTAGCAGAAGTGGTTTATCCTTCATGAGCTTATGAAAAAAATCATCAATCGTGTATCTTTTGGTCCACATCTACGTATCTATTACTTTCAGTCACATTTCCACATGTTATTGTATTTACAAGATACAAGTCTTCAATCAGCAGGTTGGACAATGGCTTAAAAATCCCCTTCATGGTAGAGGGGTGAAATATACAGTAAAAGGTACATTAGACATTCCTGAGATCATGCACAGGCCTACAATATGTAGAATACTACTACAGCAGATAATGATTATCTAATTCATCATTGATAAATATAACACTTCAAGTTGATGCAGTACAACCACTAACATTTATGTATTTAACCTGGTTCTAAGCAACACATTTATTGTAGGTCTTTTAAAAGAGCAGTTGCTGGGATGACACTGCCATCTGCAGGATCATTTGATCAATTTAAAAAAAAAAAATCTGACTAAAGGGACATAAAAAAAAGTAATTGGAAGAAATGGCACCACACCACCACACACACTCTGAAGACACAGAACTGAATACACCATCACTGCTACATTTGCAATCAAAAACAGACTTAATTCAATCTTAAAAGCTCAAACATTACATTTTATTTTTTAAAACTGCATGAATACTTTGAAAGTCAAATGAGATTGTATTAACAAGTGATTGGAAACCTCTGTGAACATGAGTAACAAATAGGAAAGAAAGAACAGTCATATAATCAAATTGATAATATGCATATTTAATGATGTATGATATATAAACAATTTTCCAAGAAACATTTTTTATTCCAAGCAATACTTTCCAGTTTAAACACATAATCAACAAATGATACCAAGCAAATACTTTCATTAAAACAAGTACATATTACTAACATGTGCTTTTGCTGAATCATGACCATTGCTTAAAACCCCTGTAATAAAATGTTATGTTGTAGACAACGCTTCATTCTCCCAACACCAGTTTGGGTTAATGTTGTGCAGAATGCTGCAATGGCAAAGGACAGCATGAAGTATTAAGACCAAAGCGAAGGATGTGAAATCTGAGCAACAATCCTATTTCTAATGCAATCATTGCCATTCAAAGTGATGGAAAATTGTTTATAAAAAAAGTAACTTGTACAAATGACCCTTTTTAGTACAAAAGCTTGTAAAATGTAGTTGTGGTGCAAATCATTGCAGTGTCTCTTAAAATTGGTGGAAAACATTTGCAATAGTGATGACAGTATATGCAGACGTGACTTGGGCCAGCTCACCAAAAACAGCCATTTAATTTTTGTAGCAGCTACATTTCCAGTTCAGCATCTAATATTAATCGAATTACTTGGAGAAAAAATAATTAAAACGCATGAAAATAACACATAAATAACACTGAAAATATAGCATATAATGGGGGGAGGGAAATCATTTCCCAAACACTAAAAACATAACAATGTTTAAAAGATGGCAGTAGAAAAATAAAAATGTCCATATCCACCATTATTCCGATATAAACAACATGAAATGAAATCAATTGTGATTTTGCTCATATGTACTTAAAAGTGATTATATGTATTTAGAAACCGAGAAATAATCCAGATATGATAATCATAAAAAAAAAGGTTTTGGATGCAGTGAGGTATTAGCTCATTCCTGTCTTTCACCAATATATTTGATTCAGGCACCGTTCTACTGAAAGAACTTGAGGCCTGCAACAAGGAAGAACTTCTCCAAGAAGATCTCAGAATCAAGGACGGCAATGTGGGCGGCCCGGCCGATCAGGGAATTGGCTGTGTTGGGCAGGGCATGAATGACATCAAATCGTACTAGATTACAGTCTTTGTTCTGGAGTACTGGCAGCAGCAGGTTCTCAATCATCTCCGCATACACAGGACCTGGAATGGACAAGAGTGAAACAAGCTGAAAAGGGCAACACTTGTTGGATCTTGTGCATTGACATTCTACAATTTTAGTTTTTGGATTCATGCAGTCGCTCCCATCTTACCGGTTTGTTTGTCCTTTACTGCAGTTTTGCACATTTCTATTCGGGCAGAATGATAGGGGACGTAGCGATCCTGCAGTGATCCCACAAGCACCACATTTTTGAAAAACTGCAAACCTTCAAAAGCAGATAGATAGAAAATAATTATCTCTATGTTTCATTGCTCATTTTATAAATGTCTGTCGAAAAAAAAGAAAAAAGAAAAGCTAACCAGATTTCTTGCTGAGCTTGTAGAGGAAAGTTTGGCGAGGGTCAGAGTTATCACGGCACGTTAGCTGCAAGAGTGACCCTGACTTTTTCCACTTCTGCATGAACCAAAGGCCTAGGAACAAACAGATGTGAGTGAAATATCTGATACTAATAAGATGTGCCATCTTCAACTATACGTTGTATCTCCCTACCTGTGTTGACCAGAGCAGAGCTGTTGTACAGTGTGCCCAGGTGAGGTCCAGAGAGGGAGAGGAAGGTGTGCAGCCTGCTCAGGTAACATTTAAACCGAGGCCTGGTCAGCACTGAGCGAACAATGAGGGTCCCCAAGGAATGACCCACAAAGCTGCAAGTGAAGAATAAGGAATGACCATAATGAAACCAAACAACAATTATATACATATGTGTCACCCTTTCAGAGATTACATTCTATAAAAACAGGATGACACAATCTAAGTAAAGTTGGCTTTGAAAGATTAAACTGGTTTCTAAGGTAACGAGCACATTTTCTTTCAAAGATTTAGTACCTATGTTGTTGAGAACACTTCACTCAAGTAGAAAGCTGACTGCTACTGCATCATGCGGCTACTTAATGAAAAACGTATACTAAGTATTATATATATTTTTAAAGATAAATATGCATTACATTTGGGTAGGACAGAATATTTTACCTTATCTTTGACACTGTGAGGTTGTATATCTGAATGTACTGGACTATTTCATCCAGCAATCGGTCCGTCATTGAATCAAAATCAGCAAAAGTGTCATTCTGTGGAAGTAAAGAGAATTCAATTAAAATAAAAGACAATGTTTTGGGTTGTATTTGGTTCTTTAACATGAATGACAGCGTCTGCATGCTCTGCCACTCACCTGGTTCCTCTCTGACATCAGGAAGTCGATACGAGCACCAGGCAGTCCAAGCTCCAGGTACGTTTTCACCAGTCTGAGGTCTGCACTGTTACCTGCAGCAAGACAAGGGAGCACAAATACACCAATGTTGTTTTACAAACAACAAGACCCTACTGGACTTTTAGTAATAATAATAATAATGATTCCTACCGTCGAGGCCATGGACACAAACTATAAGATGAATGCCTTCATCACAGCTTTCATCTTCCTCCAAGCTAAAGTAGGGCACATTGGATGCCAGCTCAGGTATTTCACTGTACAAGAAGCCAGGCAGCCTCAGCTGTTTCATTTCTTCCTTGGCCTTAATGAACCTGCATAAAATAAAAAGTCGATAAATATTTATCTATAATGAGCAAGATAGGAAAAAATATCAGTATAAAGTACACGATTAAATTATATGATAAAAAAGGGATACTCACGATTTCATCTGTGGTGTGGGTGCACATTCATACCAGTGCAGGCTGGAGGAAGAGGACGTGGAGGGACATGGAGGTCTTGCCAAGCTGTAGCCAACACTGCTGGAGGCTAGGTTGGAGCAGATGGGAGCTTTTGATAAATCTTTTGTTTCATGGGGGTAGCCGATGCCAAGCTGTTCAAACAGAAGACTCGTTTCTGAAGCCGCTGCGTCCCCGACCGCACTTTGCTCCTCATCCACAACACCATTGACAAAAGCATAGCCATCGCCTTCCTCGTAGTAACCGTTCTCAATCATGTCTTGCTCTGGTTCGTCCTCGTCATCCGGGACCGTTGGACCTGCATGGATTCCCAGTGTGATGGCAGATGTTTCTAAAGGGCTGATCTCAGACACATCTGTGCTAGAGCGTGAGCCAAAGTAGTTCTCCACCATCCCACGCTTCACTATGTCAGTGCTGCTGGTGGCAGAGTTACTGGATGGGCAGGTTGTTTGGGGCTCACTACCAGACTCCTTCTGAGCCCCAGAACCAGCTGCTCCCTCAAAGGCAGGTTTTATAAGTTTGGAATCACCTGCAGCCATGTTAGGGGTGCAGGCCACGTCAATGGCAGGTCTGTTACCGTCATCCCCAGAGAAGACTACACTCTGCTCCTGCACCAAAACACTGGACTTACTGCTTCTGACTGCTGCTCCGCTGGAGCCCCTAGAGGAAACCTCGCCCTCATCATCTGAGGGCAAGGAGTTGATGGAAGTGAGAGAGGACTGGACTCCACTGATACCACTGGTATTTTCTGCTGCCACACTGGGCTTTTGCTGGTATTGCTGAACAGGTCGTGGGGCGGGGCTTAGGAGGGTTCTCTCAGGCTGAGGGGCAGCCACACCTGATTCAGTGACACATGTCTGATGTCCTGGAACAAACTGAGTGTCAAAGGAGCTGGGCTCACTTTCAATGCCTGAATCTGAGAAGCGAGAAGAGGCATTCGGGCCTCCTACATCTGGCAGCCTGATGCAATCACTCTTCCCCTGTACTGACACCAGACTCGACTGGCTTTGCTGCGCTGCCTCTTTAGCCGGCCTTTCAAACACAGAGTCCACCACAGACGGTTTTGAGTCACAGAGGTCTGTCTGGGTGCTTAGAGTCCCCTCAGTCCGACATGGAAAAAGAACTGTTACTTTGTCTCCTCGGTATGGGTCATTGTTACTTGGTTTCACCTCAATTTGCTTAGGCCCAGCAGGCCACTCAGGTTGCTTTTGTTCGACGTGGTCAACTTGTTCATCTTTGTAAAGTGGTTGGTTGCATGTAGCACTAGCCCCAGTACCTGCCTGAGGATTGTTCTGTGCATCCACGTGTGTAGGCTTTTTGAAAAAGCCTTTCTGACAAGCAGCAGTAGTTGTTGTATTGTCATCTGTAACACAATCATCAGCACTGTGAGCTGATGAAGCACCAGAGTCAAAGACTGAACTTGCAGTAGTCCTTAAATAACTACTTGTGTCTCTCTGCAAGGTATCTGGTTCCTCTTCTTGGTTTAGGGGAGCTTCCCCTTCTTTGTGCTTTGTGTCACTAAAAGGAGCTTTGAGGTTCTTATAGCCCACCAGCACTACAGTGTCTTTGGAGCCCTGTCTAATCAGCTTCTTAGAGTTCTCAGTCTTTGAACTTTTCTTCAGTTTCACTGACTTGCCTTTGGACTTTGGCGGTGGCTCAAAGCTATCTGGCCAGGTGTTGTCCATAGTGGCACACTGAGCCTCAGGTAATGGGCTGGCTGCTGCGCTACACTCCTTGGAGTTAGGCTTGTCCGTTTTGCTGGACATTGAGCCAGTCCTCGAGTTGTGCATGCCAAGCCAGGGTCCATCGCGATCTGTAGAATCAAACCAGGTTAAACATAAAATAGGTACAAAAAATGCCATTTGTCATTGCCAAATCACAGTACATCTAGTTTTATGTCAATACTGTATTACTAACCTTCAGTGATAGAATCAAGGTATCTATCCTCAAAGATGATCGGCAGAGAGCTTACATCGCCATCAAGGTCTGCACATTCCACTGGAAGCGGAGGAAGAGACAGGAAGTAGCTGGAGCTTTTGATAGCGTTAGTCATCTGCTGGTGACTGTGAGCGCTGATGTAGCAGGGGAGAAAGCTAATTCAATTGGAATCAGGTATGTCCACACTTGACTATAGTATTTCAGACGAGTAGCTGCTGGCACAGGCTTGAAAACTGCAACACGACATTTCACAACCAAGACGAACAAGCCCCTGCAACTTACTGTAGTTCCTGATATGCTAGTGCAGATTGTCTTGGATGTTCAAGACAAAAGAAAGCCTCAGCAAACCGCCTTACCTGTAAAAAACACATTATAGAGAATACTTTCAATTTCCACAGGTTTGAGTAATAGTTTTGGATAATTGATCATACCAAAAAAAGGTCATTTTAACTCAAAGGTGACAAGTCAAGTTATGTAGAGTAGATGATGTTAGAAGTTGAGACTCACTCTTAGTGTATGGTGCTCCATAGCTAGTAGGGCAGCAACGTGCTCCTGCAGGGACACCACCTCTAGGAATTGTCCCCATAGTGCCATGAGCAGAGAGCAGAGCTGAGCCAGGTTCATATTCACCAGCTCTGCCAGCTCGTCAGGGGACTCGGCTTTCTGCTGAGAGTACAAAGACACCCGTCACCCACCAGAGGGCTGAAGTGAGCATTCTCCCTAAAACCAGCACTGAGAACAAGGCCTAAAGTTCCATGCATGAGGACGTTACATAGGGTAAAATACAGTGAAGTAGATCCGGACATTTCTTGATTCTCAACTGATTTGTTTGTCACAGACAGTTATTTTTAAAGCATATAAAATGTCCCTCCTAAAGTTAATTGTTACGTGAATTAGACAAACAAAAATAATAGCTTTGCACCTAAACCTTCAAAGAGTAAAGTCAAGTACAGTTATCCCTTATTCCCACAAAGTTTGTACAGGCCAATATAGTTTATCCAATTACATTTGGTTCAAACTAAGTAATTATCTATACATATCATAAAATCCTTCTTTTATAAGCTGCATTATAGCCTTAAAAATGTACAAGCTTGTCTTTTTTCCATTCCTGTGTTTTGCTAACCTATGAACATTTGGAAAAGTGCTCTACACTGAAAAGTACAAGAGTCACTTGACCTGCGTAATGTACCATCATCTACAGAAATTCCTAGCATTCCACTGCGCTGCAGCAACACATTTTATACCACTCATAAAATTCAGTGAGCCAACTTATCAACCACTGAGAAGTGGTTATCTCACCTACTCAATTATGAAATGTTGAAGAGGCTTTGAATTCTACAAATGATTAAGAAACATTTGCTTGTGCTTGTCAATCTGCTCACAAACTCTCTAGCACCCCAGGCGATTTCATGGCATCACTTCTCCAGAATTTCCAGACAACTTTTGCAACCAGGCAACCAGGCTAGTATTACTGCTTGAATCAAACTGTATATAAAAACATGACTGCCTACTTCCAAAGAATCTGGAAATCTTACTCATTTCCTCCTGTTATTGAGAAACATTGATTCAATCATATATGTTTCACTTTTGCAACGACTTCTGAATGGCCCTGTTCCATATTTACCTCCTTCTGCCTTAATCAAATAAAGCAGGCTTTTTGCTTCCTATAAAGGTTTTGCATCAGTGCATACTGAATAATAATAATCAGAGACAGGTCTTACCTTGACTTGTTCACATAACTCAGCTAGACGGGCCTCTAGATCGAGTTGTTCTGTGAGGAGGCAGAAGAACTGCGTTACTGATATTGACTTTTTAATCCATCTATTTAGTGATACAGATTGTTGTTAAAAGAGCCTGGTAAACAGGCAGAAAAAAGAAGTGGTGTTAGACAGCACTGGTGTTTGAAATACTTTGTATACAACTTCTACAGAGCCCCTGTGTTAGGAGACACTTTGACCAAGGGCTATTTAAAAAGATGGAAAGACAGATCAATATATACTGTAAGATAAAGATGGCATAACAGCATTTTAGGAATACTGCTCTGGAATGTGTGACACAGGGAGAACATGGTGTTTTGTACAAGAAGGAAATTGAAGGAAAAAAAGAGAAAGGCTGACTTGAGGTACTGTAAGGGACATACCTATGTAGACGTGCCTTTGACTTCGGGGATAGGGTCTTCTGAGAACTCGCTCATATAGGACTTGCATGCTGGGCTTGGCTAGTAAGATTGCACATATAGGCATATTAAACCTCTTTATTAGTTGGTTGTCTCAGATGGGTTAATATCCGTCCTCTTGTGTGGGTTAGGGTTAGTGATCGATTGTTACAAAAAAGATTTGCTTTTATGAGCTTCAGTTTACTGGTTAACAGACTTTTCTTTTGTATTAATGAGTGCAAGTATGATTTAGTAAATATAATGAATATTCATAAGCAAATCTGGCAGGTTAAAGGTCGGGTAGTCTGTTTAGAATATGCCAATGTGTAGGGATCAGGTGAAATGATATGAGAACTGAACACACTTGGAATATATAACACACACTGACGCTGGAAAGACAAAACAATGACAATTCATCCACAGAAACAAAAACAATAATCAGAGAGTATTACACTGTACATTACTAGCTTATGCTCGGTTCTTTGAGTACAAATGATAAGAATGATAATAAAGAGTGTGCAGGGACATATTTGAATGAGTTTGGCATTTAGGATTCTACCATTTACAACGTCTCGTAACCCCACACTCTGATATGTGTTGATGTGAAGCCACAGTGTTTGTTTACCTAGTTCCATACGATGGGAGGAGGGCAGGTCCTTGGTGATAGAGGTGAAGTAATCAAAGAGGCCCTGGTAGGCGAGCAGGAGATTGGAGCAGAGGTCGTGGTGCAGACTGAAGGCATGCTGCAGACAGTTGTCGGACACCAGGAACGTCCTGCCCTATGGGATCATGGGAAAACAGAGAATAAGGTACAGGTTATACAATTCTGTAAACAATATTTAGCTGAAAATGTGCAGCAATTGTAGTGAACGTTTGGTTTGTAGCCACTGCCAGGAGAGAAGACAAACTCAGACATGGCAACACAATCTGGTAAACTGTAGATCATTTGAAATTATATTTTAAATGATTGTCATGTATTGACATCAGATAAATACATTATAATGCTGGAAACATGATTCTTGATGAATTCTACACTGGACTATAGTAGCATAACCATAGAATCATTCAATAGAGGAAATGGTTCAAAGATGTATCGCATCAATCACAGTAGCCCCATGGATCACAACTGATTGGTCTGCTTGTTACTTCTAGACATTTATTTTGTCTTTGTGGCCATGCTTTGTAGCACAGATAACTGTAGTGGAATGTATTTCTGTCTATGTGCTGTTGTTGTTCCCAAGCTTGCTATTATGGTTGCACCGGGGGCATATCCCCCTTTCTGTCTGAATGACTCCGCTACACTCACATCTCAGAGGCAGCTTTAGCCGTCCACCTTTTCTCTGTCAGGAGAGGCCAATTACTCGCCAAATGTGACAGTGGTCTGAGAGTTCACTTTGCCCTATCTGTCAACAGCCTGACACATCTCCCTGTACTTCAAATGCACTGAGTGTAACACAGTGTACTACCTGAGGCCAAAAACCTGTCAAATCAGAGTCCACAGCAATGTCTGTGTATCATCAAAGCCTGTCTTACTGGCAGGAAGCTAAAACCTGCTTATTTTTATCCTTTCAGCTTCATTCCTCCCTCATAAAAGGAAAACAATCCAATATCTACAGCATATATGGAGTATTATTAGGTTTATGACAACCATTTACTTTTTATAAAGTGCTTAATTTAGCCCTTTGTGATACAGCAAAGCAAAAAAGATAAGGAGGCATTTGTTACACTTCCATGACAGCTCAGAGGTTTAGTTGCATATATTATTTTCATATACATAGTAATGGCTATAAATGAGGTCCACTTACATCTGCTGATACTTGCTTGACGTAACTGCTGCCGAACACCACGTTCTCTAGAGGCTGGATGACTGAGTCTTTGCTCTGTGGGGGAGCGTTGCGGTTCAGCCATGTGGTTTTCACTGGACGAGGCAAACTAGATAAACACACAAAGGAAATCCAACTTAGCTTATCTGTCTAAGAATGTAATGGGACACTTCCTATCAGGTTTCTCCTACCTCTAAATCCCTGCTGTACATGAATGTCAAGTTACATTCAAAGATAAGTTGATAACTTTTACTGTAATTTAAAAATGTTTTGTGTAAAGTACGCAATAGGTTTTTGTTTTAATTGACCACAAACAATATTCCTACAGTAAGTAATGTAGAGATTTATTTGAGATTCAACACTTCCATGAATGTAAAACTGTTGGTGTCTTTCATGTGTAAGGTAGCAGGCTGACCTGATAAGGGGCTGATGTAGTGCCACTAGGGAGGCATGGATGGCGACAGACACGACAGACAGGTGGAAGTAGTCAAACATGACATTGACATGTTGGTGGATGCCTCGCTGAAGGCTAAAGTGCAAACGAAGGGTGCGGCCACTGATATTCTGTAGAGAGCTAGGATCATCTGGCCTGGTGAAATGAAATAAGGAAACAGAAAGTACAATTTTAGCGCCTCATTGGTATAAAATGATGGAAATATTAAAAGTACATGGAGTTCAAATGTTGCAACACCTACGTGTAATCACCATCTGTGAAATATAAATCCAAGGAGAGCTGGAAATCGATGTCATTGAGGGTCTCTCCCACCTGAGAGTTTTGAGAAACAGTCACATTTAGAGCCAGTGTGTGAAGGAAGTTCATCTGCAAGATCGGTTCCATTCAAGGTTTTTTGATTTATGGCATCAGCTCTAATAATCCTTTTACATTTAGAAGTGTTTGGTTATTATACTCTGTTGTGCTGAACGCACACCACACCACAAGTTAAAACACTCCCACGTTCCTTGGAATACTAGTTGAACTTCTGCATTCCTTAAACAATGCTTAATGCTTCATCCTGACGCTAAACTGCTTAGGAATTATAAAAAAAAAAGTCCCTCTCTCTGCATTTCAGTGACATTCTGCAGGTGCATCCTGCTTCTTATGTCTTTGGTTGGGGACAGCAACTGTATTCAATGGGAGTTAAAAAAAGATTGGCCCAATTTTCTTGCCACAAAAAGTTCCGCACCAGCTCATTTCATTTTACACAAGGAGGACACAATAGGAAAGCTGTCAAATTAACCCACATATATTGGATTGGCTTTTCATGTACTTCTTTTTTTAAAAGTGCATCATAAAGAAAAATGTACGATGCAGACACATTCATTTAGGATTTGGGCAAGGGGCAAATATACAAATATCCTAAGAAAAGCATCTCTCTCTTGAACTTGCCTTCTTCTCATCAAGCAGCATCATCACTTTGAAGATGAGGACATCGTTGACCACAACCTCTTCATTCTTGTAAAGGATTTGGAAGGTTTTGCTGTAGATGACATCTTCTTGGACTGAAGCAGGAAATGCCAAATCAGAGCCTAGACAAAGACATTAGTATTAGCTGTGGATGTGCATTTATGAAAATAAGAGTTAAATGGAAATAGTTTACCTCTGCTTTAAAAAGGTTCTGTATACACTTTAGAAACACATCATCTGGTGCTGTGACAAGGCACAGAATATTTAATGGGTCAGGAGTTCTTACACAAATCCAGATGGATTTTGTAGATCTAAAAAAGGTATTGATATTTGTATAGGGCCAGAAATGATCAAGGTATATCTTATTAAGCCTGCATTGAAGATGAACGTTTAGTTCAGTTCTGTTTCACAGTCCAATATCTTGAGCAAGGTTTTCAAAGTAATACAAATGGGAAACATTTAAGAATTAAAATTCCATCCCATAATCCTGTTTATTTATGAAACAAAGAATTCAGTGCTTTGTGCAAAAATGAGCAGTGCAGGTCTCTCACCAAGGGGGGTGAGGCGTATGCACTAAGCCTTAGAGAAATACAGCACGGACAAGAACAAGGAGTGGCCTGTCGGATAAGCCAGTGCTCCACCACGTCCTGCTAACTAAACAAGTGAACCAAATCTGAAATAATAACAACTATTTTCCATGAAACAGCGCTTAAATATGAGAACTGAGATTAAAATAAGCTGAAAATATTAGAAAGAAAAGAGGCAGTGCATTACTTTATGCATACTGCAAGTTAGCAAAACATAACAGAATAGTTATATTGGAGATTTGAGGGGAAAGTGTGCAGGCTTATGGCTAACCAATTGATGCATTGGGGTATCTAAAAGAAAATATTATATTATGCTAATCTTTCAAACAGCATTACCTCCTGGGTGAAGCAGACTGGTCTCAATTTTGTGTGGAACCCTGGGTGGCACCTTCAGACCGGCACGGATCTGGTAGAACCTGAAAATGCAGACAAATGTTGTATTAGCTTGGTGCCACAGGGCAACACACCGCAAAGGTTAGCCACAAGTGCCTCTACTTGTAAAATGAGACTATACCGCTCATGGATTATTAATGAGCGCTTTCTTTTGCAGTCACTCATGTAGTAAACCTGAGCTCTTAAAACACTGCTGAGTCAGGAGCATAGAGCGGGAGTTTTATCGTAGAAAAGTGGGGTATCATCACACTGCCGTAGAAAATAGTAAAACCAGCATTAAAGACTACGACAGTTAGAGCTGTGAGGTTTAAACAATGACCCATTATTCCTATTTAGTTCAAAATAAAACCTTGCAATTCTGCTTTTGTCGTTGTTTCAATATTAACACCATTTGTTTTATTTTCTTTATTATTATTATTTTATTTGACAAAATACTATAAACATTATGCTAAATTAGGCTTACTAACAAACAGTTTCATGTTTGATCCAAGCAGAGATAGTTCAATCATTTTATTAACCCTGCAGCACAACGGTGATAAAGATACAAATTCAAATGTAGTGAGTCAGAAAAGAGAAGCTCCTTCAAAACCTGCGGAACACTTTAGTGCAGCTTTGACACATTTGAAAAACACTGCAATGAAAACCTCTACCCTTGGATCTTCACCTTGGATCTTTACTAGGATGTATAAAGAACCAACCCTCGTCTTCACTGAGAAGAAGGCCAACAAACACAGTTTAGCATATTCTATTCAGGACTTAGAAAGTATTTTCTCCTCCAGCTCAAAGTCTAAACAAGATGGTAAACAGTCCCCAATTGGCTAGAACAATCACAGAACCAAACCATACTTTTTGAAGTCCATTCAAAGCAAAGGGTTCCATCACATCTGAGTTTTTAATAAGTGAGGTAAACTTGTTAGTAACATATGATTGGAAAAAACATTCCTTTGCTAAAGCATAACTGAATAGCCACCTGCTGGAAACACATCGGCAAGAAGGAGCCGAATATAAGGCAGGTAGAGACACTTCTCACCCTCTTTGGAACAGGTCCACGTTGTAGAACTTGTGGAGCTCCACAGAGAACTCCACTGTGGCCTGGACTTCAGTCATCTTGGTCTTTACAGGCAGAGGGGCCTAACATCATCTGGGATACACCGGTAGGCCTAAGGATGCAACATATTTAAAGAAATCATTAGAAGAATACCCAAAGTCAAAGACTATGTAAGACTTTGGTGATGGTTAAGGTTTAATAGTTTATTATGAAATGAAGTCTTCATTTGGCATAGGTTGATCTGACCATTATAACATGACATATAATATGACAGTGGAAAACATTGCGTGTCCTTAAATACAGTATCATAAATAAACATAGCACCCTGTTATTTATTACAAACATTTTTAGCTCAAGACTTATTTAAGTATTCAAGAAAAAAGGTTGTGTTTGTGGCTGTAGTTGGGGTCTAATAAAACTGTGAAAAACAACAACAAATCATACAGATGGTCCCTAAATAAGTAATGTATGAAATGAATAAATCATCCACTGGGAGATAGCAGGTCATTGTCTTCATGCCAGTGAAAACCAATATGAGACACAGGCCGCCAGCATGAATGGTTGACACAGAGTCTTTAAGCAGAACAAAGAGTGCCAGGTCATTTTAATATCTAAATGTGCATCCCTTCCTGGAAGAAGTGATCTGTAAAAGCTGTCGGTTTGTTTAACACTAAATTAGAGTGAACACAGAGGACATATGAGGACACTAGTATGTGTGTCCTCCTACTGCTAAATGTGTCTACGTGTGAATTGTAAATGTCTCTGAAGCATTTATGTTTTAACCATTACTAATCTATACTAAGACCTTGAGATAGCCCCTTTACATTTTTTATAGAAATTGAAACAAATTATTTGTTTGACAGACAATTTAGCAACTCAGTAATAGGTCTAAGCAGATAACCAAAACTATCTTAATTGCAATTCTTCAAATACAATATTCCAACGACATTAAGGATAATATCTTTAAAAGGCAAAATATGTTTGAAATTACCATTTTAAAGTAATGCTTCAGAGTAGTCCTTGCCTTGAACATCATATTCTACAGACTTTAAACTAATGGCAATAAGGTTGCTCAGTAATAAATAATCAAGCAGCCATTCACAATGTTTACTAAGATATATTATTCATAATAGCAAAACACTAAAAGCTGCTTTTCTTTAGTCTTCTTTAACTGCAATGTGTACAATAATAGCATGGTTAGTGCTAGAGAAAAGGGCATTCATTAACATTTTCCACAAGTTGTCTAATGTAGACATATGTTTATGTTTATAATATAAAAAGGAGCACATTAACATTAAGGTCAACATTAAAGATTGTTGATCCAGTGAATGTTCGATATGTAGTTTAGTGTTGGTCAGAGAAACTGGTTTATCAGGTTTAGTCTTAGAACACACTGTGAAGATGTAACTCTACACTCATGTTAAGCCTAATAATAATGGACTATTAAAAAAGGTGGAAAAAGGCAGACTATAAACCAACAGACAATGGGGTGTTCGGCTGAAACGTTTGTTCATAAACTTAGATTTAATACAAAAAAGTATTTAATATGCAAAACGCCATAACCAAAAAAAAAAAATGCGACATTCCCCAGAAATAAGGCTATTAGTAATAAGGAAGTGTAACCGTCACTTAACATATTTCAAGTCGACATCCAACATAGGATAAAGTACACTAAAACATCCATCGTCAGTCTTATTGCAATGTTATTGACCTGGCCTTAACATAAATCGACAGATAATGTTCTTCTTTAAAAAGGGGAACCTTTACCCCAGCAGCTAAACCCCGAAACGGATACAGACCAGTTCAAAAACAGCTGTTATACTTATGACTGAGCGACATGGTTTTGGTGCTGGGGTGGTAAAGGTCCCTGGCTAGTGGGCAACATCTCGGCAAGGGTATCTTTTGGGTTACAGGTGGTAAGCTACCAAAAGAGCATTATGCCAATGGCCCAACAAAAGGTCACAGACGATCCGAAAAAATACACTTTAACAGACCAACGAGAACAATCATCACTTGATAGCCATTTAGCTAACGGTAACAGTTAGCGTCACGTTAGCCACCCCTCTAGCAGTTGTCCCTGGGTCTAACATTAGCCGCAGAGGCAAGCTAACGCTACTTACCATTGCGTTGGCAGGCTAACATTAGCTAGCTAACCAACGTTAGCTCCAGTTTCAGTCCTCTCTTCGTCCTTTCACGGTGAGTTGCTGACAGAAAAAACCACAGTATGCTGACTATTCCACTTCCTAGGCTGCTAGCGTGACGAGAGGAACGCCCTTAAAATAATATAAAAAGTTGAGTGGCCATGTATTTCTGTGAGCAGTGCTGTCTGTTAGCCCTAGAGCTAAGTAACTGTGCTCAATCTGAAGAGCTGACAGCAAGCGTACTAGCTCCACCTGCGCGTTTACGAACATTCAACTGCGCGTTACTGCACACTCTACATGCGCAGTTGACGCACATGCAATATTGATACATGTAAATGGAACATCGATACATGGTTTAATAACGATAATTATATTCCAATAATAACAACAACAATTATATAATATTTGTACTATTATTATTCGTGATTAAAATACTATTTTCTACACATTATAATAGAAATGTTATTGTTATTATATTGTGTATTTATTTCAACAAGGACCATGCATACAAATACATTAATCCCAGAAAAGAGAATATATTAATTATGCCAGATTATAGCTAATAGCTCATTTCCATCTACAGTCCTCAGGTACATAACAATCATCAACACACACTAACACATTGCATAATCTCTATCACACAAACAATTATAAAGCATGATTTAAGTACAGGTCAATAAAATAATACATAGTACAGTCAAAATATAATATTACAATAAAGTTACAATTGAAATACTCAGATTACAGTGTCATTAATGTTGGCATGACTGGTTGCTTAATATCAATTTTGTTTGCACCATAAGAGAATGAGTTCAAATCAATACAGGTTTTACATTCAATTGAAAGAGTAGTCCAGTGTTTGATGGCCGTAAATTGTGTCCGATAAAATACTTTAAATATGTAGTAGTAGTAGTAGTAGTAGTACTAGTAGTAGTATAGTAGTTATAGTAGTAGTAATAGTAGTAGCAGTATAATTGTCATTGTAGTTATTTGCATATGCCAATAACGCTGTCAAACATCTAAAGTGGAGGTTTTTCCAAATATGTGAGAAGATTTGTAATATATATGTATTTAACAGGCTGTAAGCTATTGTTTCACAAAATTGCAATTACATAGATTAATAAAATGAAAATACAAGTCCTCCTTCTTCTTGAGGATGCACTTTTTTTTCTGCCTCTGGGCCTGACAGTACGAACACATCTTGAATACCTTCCTATAGCTTCTTAGTCAGTGTCTCTATATTATTAGTATGGATTGCACTGGAAACAATGCTGTCTGAATGCTTTGTCTCCATAGAGATCACAGAGAATGTGGATACCAAAAATGCTGGGTAAGTAAAGTCACCAAAGGGTAACATTATCTTTTTCACAGCAACTTACATGGCATTAATTATAGTGCCCAATCATGGAAATAGAACTACAAATGGGGTGCAATTATGTGACTGTATCCTTGAAGGAACATTAAATGCAAGGTGGTTGCAGGAGAACTCTTTTGGAATGTAAAGTTGACACTGTGGAGACTGTTGACTCACACCCCCAAATAAATGACAACAGTCAAGCCTTTAAGACCCCTCACTGTGACCTGACAGTTTTTCACTCCTGCTTAGGGGGCAACTAGTCAGGATCTGGTTCTCTCCTGGAAGCCAATCTGAAGATACATCCAGCGGCAGGTGTTTTTTTTAATGTATTATTATTTCCAGATCAAGCTATGAAATGGATGGAGTCAAAAGGTAAACAATCCACTCAATAATTACCTTGTACCCGAGTAATTTGCAAACACTGTCTGGCAGTTTTAATGCATAATGCAAATAAATGCATGTCTACTTTTTTCTTCTGATTGCATTACAGAAATATCCTTCTGTACTCATTGTGCTGCTGCTATGTGTTCCCACAATACCTTTGCACAGGACTTCATTCTCAGAGTAAGTACTAAAATAATACAAATATTTTATTTATAAAAAAAAAACCTATTCAACATTGCAAAATTACCAATGCAGTGCATTGTTTCAAAAGTAAATGTTCACTTGTGTAATAATTATTAGTATCTCATTTTTTTCTTCAATACATGTTAAATATGTGTTACATGTTCCAGAACTATTTTATAGCTGAAAAACTCAATTCATATTCATTCATATAAACCGCTTGTTAAATGATTTAATGAATCATTGCTTCGTTTCCACTTTATTGTCTTTCCTCCATAAACACTGCTGCTCTTATCTATATTTTATGACATGCATACTGTGTGGTTTTGTGTAGCAGCATCATCATTGCAGGGTTAGGGTGTCAAGCTGTATAGCTGTATATAGTTTCAAGTGTACTATGATGTAAGTGAATACTGCAACGTATCAAAGTATAATAAAACAGTCACTACACATGTCATGTGAACAGTCTTATATGTTTAATACAATTGTGGTACCATGCAAGTGCACATTTTGTTAGATGTGAAGCCAACCTTGATAAAGACCTTTAACTTTCTCTCCAGATGTGTAAGAAAACTGGCAAATTTAGAGTGTAAGTGTTAAAGAGGAAACCACAAACAGCCAGAGATCGCCTAATATTTATTCAAGGCAGCGGTGCAGCTTTCCAAACACTAAGCTTTTATTCCCTCTCCACAATACACCCCCACACCCCCACAACCACACGCATAAACACACTCTTTCTCTGTGTCTCTATCTGTCTCTCTCTGTGTATCTCACTCTCTATCTCTCTCTCCCTCTCTCTCTCCCTCTCTCTCTCTACTAACGGGCTGCTTTTTGTTTTTTGCTTTCAGCTGTGAGATTTTCATCTCAAGTTGGTATTCATAGGGAGCAGCAGTCCATATGCCCTCAGATCAGTGTTGGGGAGGATCACTTCCCAGGTGGATTCACCAAAACTAAGCACAGTTTGCTTTCTTATTTGCTTGACATTTTCCCTTCCCACATGAGAAAAAGAGCTACTGTACAGACTTGTATTCCTATATAAATACTGCTGTGAAAAAGTACACTTTTCATGCTGATGCTCTATGTTTGTGAAACCGTATATTATTTTTTAAAAGCTTTTGGTAAGAACAAATAATAGTTAGAAGACCCTTGGTTAGTAACCCATGTCCATTAATTATTATTACAAAAATACTTCAAAGTCATAATACAAATTTAAAATGTTTTTTGTGTCCTTAACCCTGTAGTAGTCTCTACCCAAGGTCTAACATGACCTCTAAGATGATTTTGAATGTAACTACCTTTTTGTCATTGTTCCCTTAGGCTTTTATATTATGTCCCAGTTCCAAATTGCTGAGCTGGCAAGAAGGGGCACTGTTAAAAAGGTTACTGGAACATCTACTCAGCATGCTGCTTATCAAATAGGCCCAGCATTCAACTTCAGGATCAACACAAGGTAAGCGGCATGGCGTTAAAATGGAGTTGCATGAGTGAATACTGACACCTAGTGGGTGAGCTGGTATAACGTCATTTACCCTGTCCATGGTCCTGATCATCAGAGCTTGACCTTATCTGCACCGTCAGTTATACTTCTTAAAAAACAGAAAAATGACATTGTATATGATCAATATATGATTTGACCATTATCAACAGGACAATAGTCGTTGATACACAATATATGTCCAGTAGAGACACATTTTCCTTTGTATTTCAGATCAGCTTACCCCTTGGGTCTACCCGAGGAGTTTGCATTTGTGGCCGTGCTGCGGATGAGTGGCAGCACCATCAATACAAATTGGAATATCTGGCAAATGCAGGATGTGAATGGCATGGAGCAGCTGGCCGTCAGACTCAACGGGCAGTCTCAGTCTCTGGAGTTCACCTTCACTGCACTGGACACCGGGAGGCAGACTCTTGTGTTCGGCCCCCTGCCTACTCTTTTCAACGACCAGTGGCACAAAGTGGTGCTGCACGTGAACAGGCGCTCTGTAACACTGTTCGTGGACTGTGCCATGATCGGTTCTCAGAATATACCAGCCCGAAACAAAGTCAGCCTGGATGGCTTCACGTTGATAGGAAAGCTCAAGGACAACCCTGTGCTGGCAGTACCGGTACGTTTATTATATCCTACAGATGTTGCGTCTGAAGGAAGACATGTACATTTATGACATTTAAGAATCGGGTTGGCTCTAGGAGCTTGGTGGCCCTTAACACGTTTTTTTTGGCCCAGGGCTTTCCACAAGGACATGGATCAGTCAGCCAGTAGGGGGATAGTTGCCAGCTATTGGAAAAGAAACGTTTTTCTGTAAAAGCCCAAATGTGGTATTTTGATCACATACACTCATCTTATCTTATGGCATATTTGATTGGTTTGCCTAATTTGTGAATTGTAAAGGAGAAGAAAGCTTCCTATGCATTTAGCTCATACAGTCTGTATGGATGGATTGATTGCTCAGAATCATTAAACATTTTATATTATTTCCTAAGTGTTATTTATTGACACTTTCACAGTTTACAGTAATGTTCACTTTCAGAGCCACATCACAGCACTTCCTCATTAAGCTGAGAAGAGGGGGCACTGGTGGAAATGAATCACGTTTCTCAAGCACTATTCCAGCGTAGGAGTACTTGTAAACAACATTATTTGATTTTAATATTTATTTTTGATGTATTTTAGGTCATTGGTTAATCTTCCAAGAGTCCACATAAAAAATTAAGCCATACATTATTTTATAAAATGTAATTGATCATATCGTCAAACGTGATAACCTATTGGTTAAATGCATGATGCCTGCACATTTGTTTTACTTTAGGTTTAGGCTACATGAAAAGTGTAGAATGAGCTCATAAAAAAATTATGAATTGTTAAAAGTGAATTTATTTATTTTTCTTGGCAAATCTTCTTAACTTATTCAGAAAGATTGCTCTATTTGTGTTTGTATTGTTTCACTTAACGTCATTGATCATCTTGTGCGCCACAGTCCTCATTTAGTAATTTCAGGTTGACCTGCAAACGTTTAGGAATCCTTGTGTTTTCTCACCCTGCTGTTTCGTTTGTCTCTGACAATGGTCAGCAGTTGAAGTCTGCTGTGTCTCCATTCAAGCTTCACTGACAAATATTCGGAACTTGTTGCAGCTTCTGGCGAAGAATACTAGCTCTGCACAGGCTAAACAATCCTGTAATACCACACCGTGCAGCGCACGTGAGTGTTCCAAATATTCGGATGCGTGTGGACAATTACGCACAGAAGCATCCTAATACAAATGAATGTTTGCCAATAACTCATATTACTCCTGGCGATTGAAGCGTGTTTTAATGAATCCATAA